TTCTAACATTTGGTGGTTTGCCAACAAAGGAACACAAGTCTTAAGAGATTAAGGTCAAGATCATCTTTAAGGTAAGCTAATGAAATGTTCATAAAAGTACTTTATAATTGTTAAAGCACTGCACAAATCAAAATTCCAAATTTCTATGGAAAGAATTTACTACTATCCAAGCAATACATTGCTTTGGATTATGTTGTTACATTTGTTGATTCTGTTTGTTTCAGCAAGCTTCTGGATCTAGCAGTTCACAATAAGGATTGTGTATGGAGGCCCTTGAGGCTATAAAAATGATTGAGAACCACCAGTACAATTTGTTACAGTGTGGGAGGTGGAACTGTGGCTCCTGGGTATTCAGCACATGGAGTGTCCTTCAAAACAGAAACTTGTTCCACACTGTTCTGTGATGGCCAGGCACTGTGGCTCATGCCTGTAATTCTAGCAACTCTAGGGGGCTGCGGTGGGAGGATCCCTTGAACTCAGGAGATCAAGACCAGCCTGAGAGGGCGGTGCCAGTAGCTCAGTGGGTAGGGTGCTGGCCACATTCACCCAGGCTGGCCGGTTCGAACCAGCCGAGGTCAGATCAACGACAACTACAACCAAAAAAAAGTCTGGCATTGTAGTGGGCGCTATAGACCCAGCTACTTGGGAGGCTGAGGCAAGAGAATCACTTAAGCCCAAGAGTTTGACGTTGCTCTGAGCTGTGACACCACGGCACTCTCCTGACGGCAACGTAGTGAGACTCTCTCAAAAAAAAAAAAAAAAGACCAGCCTGAGCAAGAACAAGACCCATCTCTACTAAAAAACAGATGGGCATTGTGGCATCTGGCACAATGTGGCAGGCACTTGTAGTCCTAGCCACTCAGGTGACTGAGGCGAGATCACTAGAACCCAGTCTGAGATTGTTGTCAGCCAGGCCTATGCCATGGCACTCTAGCCTGAGGCTCTATCTCAAAGAGAAAAAAAAAAAAAAACCCCAAAGCAGCAAAGAGAAAAAACAAAAACATCCTATGTGACTTTCAGAGGTCCCACACAGGTTTTACTCACAGAGGTGAATAACCTGTTTATAATGTGATGAGCCTAGAACCTTGTGTTTACATGGATGCAAGCCTTCCAAAAGTTTTCATATAAAACTTCTAGACATGCAAATGAGGTATATATAGAGAGAACAGGTTATAGTTTATTGTTGTGAGAACTTTATTGAGTTATTCAACCATTTTGGAAAAAAATCACATTATTGAAGGCAATGCTGATTATGACATTGGAGTCATTAATATGATATCCAAAGTTCTTTAAGTAAATCGTTGAACACAACTACTGATGTTTTTAGTATAATTTTCCATTATCTTTCCTTTATGTTACTAGGCATTGTATTATTTTTTGAAACTACAAATGTGGGTAGGTTGTATTAGCAACAGCTTTCATTTGAAGAGATTAACAGCAGTTTACAAAGTATTTGTTATAAAAAGGATGTGTTGGGTGTGAGAGGGCTAAAAAGCCTTGGGGTTATACTTAAATGCCCAATTGGGGTGTGGAGAGAGTAAAAAATTCATGCACTTTTCCCAAGAGTTCTAATAATGACCATTTATCAGATATTTGAAGAGTGCCTGGCACATAATAAGAACTACTCTGTGCAGAGGAAGGGAGATGGGAGGGGAGGTGGAAATCACTAGCTTTCTATTTCTGTACTTTGGGCCTGGCTGGTTTGCATGGAACTTTGTTTTGTACAATTGTAGGAAATGTCGTAATAAAATAAGGTATTCTGAAAGGCTGTCATTTGTAATGTCTTTAAAAAGATCACTCAGCTGGCTCAGCGCCTGTGGCTCAAGTGGCTAAGGCGCCAGCCACGTACACCTGAGCTGGTGGGTTCGATTCCAGCCCAGGCTGCCAAACAACAATGATGGTTGTAACCAAAAAATAGCTGGGTGTTGTGGTGGGCGCCTGTAGTCCCAGCTACTTGGGAGGTGGAGGCAGGAGACTCGCTTGAGCTCAGGAGTTGGAGGTTGCTATGAGCTGTGAGTGACAGCTTGAGGCTCTGTCTCAAAAAAAAAAAAAAAAAAAAAAAAGATCACTCAGCTTTGTTGAGGAAGTTGTTATTGACAGAAACCCAGAAACCATCTATCCAGCCAGCAACCTACTGGACAGCTCCTAGTCTGTAGGCTCTATGGACAGCCCACCGACGGTGAAGTCAGTCCCAGTGGAACTCACCATGCTTCTCTCTGTACCTATACCCCTCAGATATTGGCACCACCAACTATCTAGCCACGTAAGCCAGAAAACCAGAGGTCACCCTTGTCCCTGCCACTTCTCTCATTCCTTTGTCAGTTAGAGGTACTGTTTTTCCTTGAGGCACTCTGTTATATTGGTGGGCCAAGACAACCTACACCTTTGATGTTCATAATTTACCAGAATGTAGCAGAAGTGACATTGTGCCAATTCTGGGGTTAGGGCTCAAGAAAGCCTAGCAGCTTTTCTACTTTTGTGCCCTTGGGAACCATAAGCTGACATGTAAAAAAGACCACTGCAGAAAGACAAAAGACTACAAGGAAGAAAACTAAGGAACCCAGGCGACAGCCAGAACTGAAGTTCCAGAGAGGAGCTGCCCCAACCAGTCTCACACTAGCTGGGGCACAAAATGTGAGTGAAGCAGCCAGCGTCCAGCTAGCACATGGAGTAGACACCAGATGAACCATCTCTGCTGTGCCCTGCCCACCCTGACTGCGGCTGTAAGCCACGTTTTAAGGTTGTTTGCTGTGCAGCACTAATCTGAACGGTCCTTTAATGATACCCATAGGCACTTATCAAGTCTTGCCTCCATTTCTGACAAAAGCTAACCAGTCTCCCTGCCTTCCTCAAATCCATGCCCTTCACTGTATCCTTCATGTTGTCAGAGTAATTTTTCTAAACTATCATTTCTCCAATCCTTCAAGTTCTCTCACCTTAAACAAAAACTGCTCAGCCTTCTATGTGACCTCTCGTTGCTCCCTTCTTCTCTACCCCGCCCCTGCCTCCCCTTTGCACTCTTTGCTCTAGTGGCAGGGAGACTCTAGCTGCAGTTAGCACCTGCTCTCCCTTCTCCCTAAGACATCCTCATCTCCTTTAACCTATGAAGGCTCTCATCAAAAAACCTCAGGTGTTGCCTCCTCTAAGAAGCTTTGCTTGAAAACCTCCATCCTTAGGCTGAGTTGGAAGTTCTTTGAGGGCCTTCATCACCCCAGTTGCATGAAGAATTGGAGTGACAATTTTCTCATCTGTTGTCAAGTATGCAGCTAGTGCCATCCCCATAGGATCAGAGAATTCATCGTATACGGTGTACGGGCTTATGCTGGATTCTCTCCAGGGAAGAAAGGCTTGCTCCCATGAGAAAGACTGCTCCAAATTATAAATTTTTTTAAGGCTAAGGACATACACAGGGCCTAGTTCATGGTCATTTGTTAAATAAAAAGAACACATGAAAAGAGCTTAAAAAAAAAAAAAAAAGAAAAGAATCCAAAGAGATTTTTAATTTCTGAGAACAGATGTCCAGGTTCTCCAAGGAGCAGTCTCTGCCACACGCATAGTGAGCGTCCCATCATCTGTGGACGCGCCTATCTCCTTCATTGTTTAAATGTCTATTTTGGCCAGATGAGGTGCCTCACCCTGTAATCCCAGCACTCTGGGAGGCCAAGGCAGGTGGATAGCCTGAGCTCAGGAGTCTGAGCCTGGCCTGAGCAAAAGCAAGACCCTATCTCTACTAAAAATAGAAAAACTAGCTGGGCATTGTGGTGGGCATCTGTATCCCAGCTACTCAGGAAGCTGAGGCAAGAGTATCACTTGAGCCCTAGAGTTTGAGGTTGCTGTGAGCTTATGACACCACAGTACTCTACCCAGAGCAACAAAGTGAGACTCTGTCTCAAAAAAGAAAAAACCCAAGTCTCTATCTTGAACCTTACTGTTAGTCAGTGGCTAAAAACAGGTCTGGGCTCCCAGAGCTGAGAACTACTAGTTTGAATGACCACACAGATGCAACTGGGAGTTTTTCAATTACTACGATTTCATTTCAGTGAAGCATGTCATCTTCAACCTGTATATATTCACCGTGAAAATGGAGTCAGTGATACGAGACTTAAGTCCCTATCATAAAATTTCAAGTGATATGTGAAATATAAATACAATAAAGCTTTAAATAGGTATTCAACCAAACTTTTATTGGGGTTTTATTGCAATCTAATTTCAGCAACAAGGAAAGCGGCCACTAAGAACTCTGGTCAGCTTTCTCCAACTAAGCAGTTTTTTGTGAATGCTTAAAGTCAGCTTCTGTCATCAACTTGAGGACCTCATCATGAATATTTATGCCAGAATGACAAGAGTAAGGCATCGCAATATCTTAAATCATCTAAGATTAAACCATGTGTTATACATATTATAATTTTTAGGACAGTAAACTAATACCAACACTCTACAATAAATAAAGATTTTAAAAGTGTGTTGCTTAGCCCTTGTTGAACTAAATTCAATTATTAGCTTATTCTTTAAGTACTCCAGTTAATAAAGGTTTGATTGTACTTCAATAACTCTTGATTTTTCCAAAGATAAAAAATTAGTAATTTGTCATGACAAAAATTAAGCTCAAAAGCACATTCACACTTGTCCTTAAAAAGTACATTTACGTCATCTATGAGAGAACAACTCATGCTCAATGACATGGCTTTAATGGTAAACAGAGTCAGGTGCAAAGACAACCAGAGGACGAACCTCCCATCCCCACTGCCTCCAAAAAGTCACACTTGGCCTCAGTGTAAAAGTTATAGTTTATTGCCATGCTACAAAACGTATGAAGTTGGCACTGACAGGGAGAGAGAGAGAGAACGAGGGTGGGAAGGGATAGAGGGCAAATGATATTGTTACAGGGTTTTATTTTAATTAACAGTGGTTAAGTTTGGCCAATACGAAAAATGCAAATCAAAATTTTAAAATGCTGATATGAAACAGCATTAAAATATAATTTATGCATAGTACAGTATCACGTCTTTTATTAGAGAAATGTGGAATGTTTATAAAAGAAATCAACCAGAGGGGGTAAAGTTCATATTTCATTTACAATTTGGCAATGGTAGTCCCACTGTTAGACAATCTTTTATAAAAGGAAAAATTAAAAATCTATTAAGCTACCTTTATACAAAGTTGCTATATTTATGCCTTTACGTAGGAAAAAAAACATTCATAATGCAAATTAGGACATACAATAATCTTACAATATTATACAATGTAATGAAAATAAAAACATAACACAAAGTTTGTCCTTTATAAAATGTATATTTTGCATTTACTGATGCAAATGTGGCACACTGGTGACTACTGTACTACTAATCCCATTCTGTTTCCGTGCTAGAATCGTCCAATTGTCAGAAATGCAATTAGAATGATGCTACAACAGAACTGTTATCCCCCCACAAGACGAAGGGGTGGGGCTGGGGAGCAGGGATGTGAGGAGCAGGAAAGGAGACAGGGTGCTGGTTTGGGCAGAGTATATACTGTGGCATGTCATAAAATATTTGTTTATTTTTCAAGCCAAACACATTTTCTTTACATTCTATAATTTCGTACCAATGCCTTTATTCAAATTTGGCAAACATCAAGGAAAAGGTAATTAGTACCATATACCTCACGTATCAGAAATATGAATGAGATGCCAAAACATCATTTACTTGTGAATAATGCCTCTGACAGTATGTCTATTTCAAGAATATATATATATATATATAGATAGATAGATAGATATTTATACACACACATTACACATTGCACAGAACACTCGGGCATTATGGGTTAGGAACAACACAGGGGAACTGGGAAGTACTTTTTAGCATGTTAAATCCCTTACCTTGAGGCAAAAATATGGTGGCACATGGTTGGGAAATTATGAAAACATAAGGCCCCTGTCCCATTTTTAATAGAACGTTATTGAGGTACATTTTTATATGCTGTGCCACAGATTTTTTTAGGGGTGGGGAGATAAACACAAGCTTGACTTATTCTTGTAACGTTAAACTGGGGGTCAACATTAATATCTATAAAAACAAAGATTACTTGGCAAATTTTTCTAAGTCCCAAATGTGATCTGTTCTGGATACACTGGACGTAAAAAGCTTCTTGCTGAGTCCCCAAGAGTAAAGTGCACATCTCATCACTCCACAGCAGCAGTAAATACAAGGGATTATTTGCCAATCTTCCTGGAGGGAGGGAAGGCACCGTATTTTCATTTTTAAAGGAAAATAAAACTGGGAAACAAAATACGTTAAGAAAAAACACAGGTAATACCAATATCAGTTTCCAACCCTGGTCAGGGATAAATGTTCTTATGATCTGTTTGGATAAAAGAGGATTTCTATTTTGGGAATAAGATACGAACAATGATTCTATTTCCAAAACTGAAAAGCAGAATTACATGGTTTACCAACAGAATATCTAAAATTAGCTCTCAGAAAATCTGAGACATATGGCCCTAATTATATGCCAATAAAAGATCTCATTCTACAATGCACCTCGGGATAGGCGCATTCTTCCAGGACAGAGCTTAATGCCCGCTACCAGACAACTGCAAAGGACAAGTAGTATTCTAAATTACTTTTTATTAAATAGAACACAAGTGATTTCCAGAAGACCTCTAGAAACTAACACCAGTTGTATATGTCTTCCTAATATTCTTATAGTAGCTAAAATCAAATTCTTAGCAGACAAATTGGTCCCACTTTCATTTTTAAAGCACATAGTATTTAAAGCACAAACTGCAATGATTATAATGGACTTATCTAAAAATTACAAAAACTAATTAGAATCTGGAGGAAAAAACAAAAAGGATGAAGGGAAAGAACAAAGGCTCCAACCTCCAAAGTGAATAAATAGTTCAGCCCTTTCATTTGGAGATTAATGTTCTGCCTTGACCACTGATTTCAGAGAAAACCATGTGCATTGGTTCCATCACAATTCTTATTCCATATTACAAAAGCCATTACATAAATTTGGCACAATCAGCAATTTACTCAGAAGAAGGGATAAATGGAACAGTTTATTAAAAATGCAAACTGCACACCTACACCACTGCTCTTTTTAAGAGAACAGTGAACACTTTAGTAAGCACCAAGTTCACAGGAAAGAAAAAAGGGGAGAAAAAGGAAAATTCTGCTATGCACACAAAATAAGACACTGACATTGACTTATGATAAAGAAAGACAGCGATAATGGCACTGAGAACAACAACAAAGACACCTTTAATAATTTATTTTCTTTATAATGGCCCCACTCTATCAGTCTGCTAATCCATTTACTGTCCTGTGATTAGGTTATTTACTGAATAGATTGGATGCTATATGGCTAAAACTAAATTAATCTTAGTTACGTCTGGTAGATCCAGACCAAAACCTCAAACTTCCTCATATTTAGAGAAAACAGTGAAATATTTTGTAAGGTTACCTAACCTTCTTTCCACCCTATCTTCTCTTAATCGTCTCTAGTGTTTGGGAAATCGGGACATCTTTGATTTTCTAAGAATTTGACATATGGACCCTCTTCAGTTTTTATACATGTCAGTTCATTTTAAATCCTAAATTATGACACAATTTCATTACTTCAAGACTCCCACTGCACCTGCTACGCTGGCAACAGTACTAACATTTCACTGGAATAAAGGAATAATCAAAGATCCAGCCACACACGAGAGGACAGAGAGCTGAGGAGCACTGGGGCAGGCAGAGCACAACTGCGGCCGCACAGCTGAGAGGATCCCTGCTAAAGTGCTGGGGAGTGCCCACAGAAGAAACAGAGTACCTTGAGGGAGCTTCGCATGTTACAAATATCTTCCTTTTTTTCTCAGCTGCTAAAGAGATCACCTATGGACACACGTAAAATTTAAAATGGAGATAATGTTTTTATCACCTTGAAAAGTAAACAGTATATAAATAAATACTGGACAAGGGCAACCCTGTTATAGAACAACAGTAAGTTTCAAATGAACCTTCAAAACCATAATCTGACAAAAATGCAAAATAAACAACAAATACATAATCCAATTTCAAGACTATATACAAACTCAAACATTAAATTGAAAAGGACACGAAGCAACAAAGCAAGACATCCCAGACACCAAAGAAAGCAACGGGATCAATGGAACCAACGGCACGAGGCCTCCAGAGAGCAACACGGCCTTAACAACCCACGGAGAGATGCAGACCTGCAAATGTTTCTGGGTAAAGTGACCTGAGACTGATTCTTGAGCCTACTGTAACTCTGCGTAAGATACTTGGACATGCCCTTCAAATGACGTCATGAGATGAGTAAACAGAAAATCTTATCTCCCTCTGCCTTTCAACCCATGGAGGGCAAGGGAGCTGACTGGTGTAAAACGAGGTGTGGCACTTCTGTTTTCCTTTACATATGTTTTGGCTCAAGTTAAAAAGCCTTTAATTAGTGAAATAAAGGATTCCTCAAGTTATATGCTGGAGGCCACACACTGTGAACAGTGAGTCTACAGATACTTTCAAAGCCTAAAGTTAGCAATGAACACTGCCAAGAGGCTTCCTAGGAAGTTTTAAATGCCAACCATGACTTGGACATGAAAGATACGCATAAGTCCAGAATATTGATCAAAATCACCCAGCATGTCGTTCTCTTCAATTCCCATTTTAAATAGGCACTGTGAGATGGGAACGCTGCCGTACAGTGAGCAGTACATGATGAAATTAGTGTTCTTTGAGGAGTACCTGCTCTCCATTAATTCCCTTTAGTTAAAGATGCACATGAAATATCCAGAAAAAAATTCTATCAGTCTATAAAAGAAGTTAGTATTTAGAAATGAAAATGAAGCACTTGCATCTTCATTTTAAAAACTTCACAAAGGTGCAAACAACATAATGCTTTCCAGGCTCACATGGGCAGATCAGTACTATTGTGTCTAGTTTTCCTGGATGTACCATCGTCTCGTGGCAATGCTTTCTGCAAATTTGACATAGCAGCAGTTCTCTCAATGTCTATCACAGCATACAGCTCTGTGCGCCTGGTGGGGGTTTGTGGAAGGGGAGTGGTAGGTGTTTTTGGAGTCTGAGGGTTGTCAGAGTCACTGCCACCTTCCAAGTCAACCTGTATGTAATTGAGCTGCCTGTGTTCTAAACTTGGGCGCCTGATGTCAAAGTTAAAGACTGTCGGTGTACAGTCCCGACGTCGTGAATGTTCTATTTTGTGAGCACTTGCTGGCACGGTTACATTCTCTGTATTTACATAGTTATGCATTGGATCTAGACTATTATGGTAGCCATTTAGAGACGGGGTCTTTGGTCCTAAACTGTCATCTTCATCCCTACTTAGCTTGCGGGCTTCCCAAACAGGAGGCAAAGATGGTAAATTTTCGTAGTTTAATAATGCAGTTCTTCTCTGAGCTGAGTTGTTGATGTTCTGGGTATCTGAGGTACTGGTGGATGTCAGACGACCTCTCCTGACCCCTGAGGCACTAGGGACAGACAGCCCATTTATATTTTCATAGACCAGTTTGTTAACAGAGGGTGCGTCTCTTCGTTCATCACTGTCGTAGCCAGTGTCCCATTCTGTGCTATTTGCACCACTTCCAATAACTGGATCTTTACCGAGTTGGTCCAGTTTCTCTTTTTCCATTAATTGCTTTTGAACAGGGGTTGGTCCTAAAACAAACTTGACTCCTTCAGGTTCAAGAAGGACCTGAGGGTCCCTGTCCTCCATACTACTGGGCTCTTCTTTTGGTGTGTTGCTCTCAGCACTAGAAGCCCTCGCCTCCAACGGGACATGCACACTTGCGCGGTTTTTCCGATCTTCTTGCACACCTGTAGTGTTGACATAGGTGTGTACCTAAAATGAAACGGAAAGTGAGTAATTTACTTAAAAAATAAAAGAAAAAGCCAGGCAGAGTGGCTCACACCTGTAATCCTAGCACTCTGGGAGGCCAAGGCAGGTGGACTGCTTGAGTTCACGGGTTTGAGACCAGCCTGAGCAAGAGCGAGACACAATCTCTACTAAAAATACAAGAAACTGAGGCAAGAGGATGGCTTGAGTTGGAGTTTGTTGTGAGCTATGATGTCACCATAGAACTCTACACAGGGCAGCAGCTTGAGTCTCAAAAAAAAAAAAAAAAAAGAAAACCAAATAAAGCCCAACCCCACCCATTAATTTCAGTGATTAACTTTCTCTCTAAATGTACTCTTTACATAAATGTAGGTATAAAAACTTTTGTACCTATTTTTATTAATAAAAAAGTGGGAAAGGAGGAGGAATACAGAGATGTCTTCCAAATTTGATAAAAGAATAACTACTTTAAAATAACGTGCAGCATTGTATTTGATGGTGAAATACTAGAAATATTATGTTTAAAAAAAATAAATCAAGAACAAAATAGGAATTATAGGAATTTTTTTTTTTTTTTTTT